CAAATAGGTTCCTTGTAAGTACCTGATACAGCGAATTCTTGAGTTCCTAAATGAAAAATAATCTTTATGGTCATTTTTTTGAAGCGCGATAAATAACTCCGATTGATACATATATAGTAAGATGAGTGAATTTTTTGTCAATCTATTATTTAAATTTATACATACATCAATAAAAAGAAGACTTTTTTCTCATGAGGATATAATTATACAACGTAGATTATAAACTATATCGGTTTAAACTATGGTTTTATCAGCTAAATATATACAGTCGCAGTTAAATTATCATTGTCCCATATAGAAAAATGTGTTTATCAAATAATCTCAGCATGTAGCATACATATCTTCTACTATGATTTATTTGCCTAGCAAAGGTCAAATTTGTGGCTTTCGGACGTTAGTCTATCATGATGTACAATTGAATATTTTATCTTTGACTGAAAGAAACTTCGATAAGATTATGTGTTTAGTACATTGCGACAGATAAAATATTGATTTCTTATTAGAAAATGTCGAAGTTTATAAAAAAAATACTTACTTGGTTTCATCGAAATGGTCGAAGATTTTTGTAAATCTTCTATGTTCGACGTATCAGTAGTTGGTGGTGATGGCGTACTAACGGGTGTATTTAGTGTTGTTGATCCGAAAGGTGGTTCAAGATAAGGACGTGGTGCAGGTGTTTCTCGTAAATGAATAATATACAAATCTTTTGCAGGACTCCATTTACTAATTACACGAAAGTATGTACCAGGTAGAAGCAGAATTTCATGTTCTTTTTTATAAAATGAGTGAGCTCGAATATCTTTACCATTAATACATTCGATATTAAATAATGTTCGTACTCCTGACTTGCCAACAAATTGTTCCATAATCTCTAAACTCTCTGTACATGAACTAAATCCCCACCATATATGATCGTCATCGTATTCATCACTTAGATTACCATGAACACCTCGCCATACTGTACTCTTCAATGATGGTAATTTATATAATGCTGTGAGAATAAGTTTAAGATAGCGAAACCATGGTCGAAGAGGTTCACGTCGTTCTGATCGAAGTGTTCTATTAAGTAAAGTGTAAAGACTTACACTAGGATCTTCCCATTGCATCGTATACAGATGTATAGCAGCCGATTCATTTGTAGTAAGATTATTTGTAGACTTTTTCGAATTTCGCATTGCAGTATCTACCATAGTGTCAAGATCGTCGAGTAACTCATAAACTGGTTTAACAGCTTCTTCGAGCGATAATAATGGCTCTTTGGCATAGCCTCTGATAGGTAACAATACTTGATTGGGCTCTTCGTTAGCATCAAGAAATCGAGGATTCAATAATCTACTTGCTGTACTAGCCATCAATATGCTTTCTATGTGAAAAAAATAATAGTAACATATGGTTACCTTTATTTTTATATTCTTATCAATTCTACCATAGCAATATTGACATAACAACTCGAAAAACAGAAAAAGAATGCACTTCTTAAAAGAAAGAAACGAAAAAACTTCATTTATGTTGAAACAAGCATACATTATAAAGAAACACATGTAGCTTGCTGCAGTGTGTCAGCATTGATCAAATAAAATAAAAAGCACGACATAAAGTAAAGTGCTGCACATATTACAATAGAAAAATCAACAAGAAAAAGATATAAAACAAAGTGAAAATGAAAAACATAACAGTAACTGATACTTAGTATAGAAGGTATTTGCGTATAAACTAAATTGAATAAGTAATAATAATTATATACTTCAGTTTTAATAAACTCATATTAATTAATATAAGTAGAAATTCGACAATTGTCTACATCAGAGGCGTACCGACTAGGAGAGGAGAGTGAGGAGTGTAACGCTCCCCACCCATGCTTTTAAGATTCGTTTATAAAGCGGTCGTGTTTCTATGATTTATCTACTCGAGGACTTCTTTAAGCCTCTAGTCTTAATTCTTTAAATTCAAATAACTATTGAAAAGTTTCACAAGAAAGTTGTAGAATAAATTACAATATTTTAAATTATATTATATTTCAATTCAATGAGATTATTTGACTGAGAATATAGAAGAGTGTATCAACATGCAGTTAACAAAAATGATTCTTATCTTTAAGAATACTGACTTATATTTTTTTTTGAGGGTAAGAGATGAAAATTGGGCGTATTGATCATGAGAAAATATACAGATGATATAGAACTATAAAAAGTGTCTTTTACGTATGTGTTTTACTTTTTATCCGATATACAGAATAATGGTAACCCTAATAACTACTCTGCTATTTTGTGCACTAAATCTTGTAATATTCGAAGTGCACGCAAATACCTGTGATACTTATAACCATCCACAATATGGTATTGGTCAATGTATTGATACTAATGATTGTCCAAATGCTTTATATCAAAGTGGTTTATGTGAATCACATCCAATAAATATAAAATGTTGTTTTTCAGTAGAACCAATGAAAGAAGAATTTCGTGCTGCTTGGATTGCTACTGTTGCTAATATTGATTGGCCATCATCAAGAACAGCAACACCAACGCAACAACAAGCTGAATTAATCAATATTCTTAATACAGTTCAAACACTTAACATGAACGCTGTTGTTTTTCAGGTATTGTATAAAAATTCTGACTCTTTAATTTTTGAAACATAGTTGTTTTTTTTTTTTATAAAAAAAAACAACTATGTTTTTTTTTTTTGTCTAAAAAAGATTCGTCCTACAGGTGATGCCTTTTATGCTTCGACATTAGAGCCATGGAGTTTGTATTTGACTGGTACACATGGTAAAGCACCATCACCCTTATGGGATCCATTAACATTCATTGTTAATGAAGCACATAAACGTAATATCGAAGTACATGCTTGGATTAATCCATATCGTGGTCGAATGGCTGGTTCAACTTATGAATTAGCATCAAATCATATGGCTAAACGATTTCCAAAATATGCTTATACATATAATAATTATATATGGATGGATCCAGGATCAACTGAAGTTCAAAATTTTATTGTTAATGTTACTGAAGATATTGTTCGTCGATATGCTGTTGATGGTATTCATATGGATGATTATTTTTATCCATATGGTGATGGAACTGATTTTCCTGATGCATCAACTTATACTGCATATCAACAATCAGGCGGTACATTTAATAAAAATGATTGGCGTCGTTCAAATGTGAATACGCTAGTTCGGACAATGTATACAAAAATGCATATTATTCGACCAAAAGTAAAATTTGGTATATCACCATTTGGTATTTGGAAAAATGGTGTACCAGCAGGTATAACTGGTCTTTCATCTTATGATAGTTTATATTGTGATACTCGAATGTGGTTAGAAGAAGGATTAGTTGATTATATGACACCACAACTTTATTGGCAGATTGATCCACCAGCACAATCTTATCCTGTTCTTCTTGATTGGTGGGTACAACAATCGAAAAAAGGTCGTCATGTTTATCCTGGTAATGCAGTTTATCGAATTTCTCCTACTGAACATAATTGGCCAGTAATCGAAATCGTACGACAAGTTAATATAACTCGATCGATGCGTAATCGTTTAGCATTGGGCAATGTATTTTATTCAGTAAAACACATAGTACAAAATGTTAAAGGTATTAAAAATGAACTTGCTATACTTTATAAACAAAAAGCTATTATACCAAAAATGAGTTGGCTTTAATATAACATATTTTTAAATATTTATATTGATTAAAATTCTAAAAAAAACAAGAAACCTATTTTTTTGTATTAATTTTTCATTTATTATTGCCAATGTTAATCTCATGCAAATCAAAACTAGCTAGATATCTAAGCTTCAATTGACTACGAAATGTGGTGCAAAACCATGAGTTTCAAAAAATCATCTCTGCAAAATATTCACAGTCGTCTACTGAATTTTGTCTTCTGTCGTAATCAGTGTGTATAAAAAATTACACCTCGACCAGCCAATTCAAATCAAAAGGACATTGAAAAACAGAAATAATAAAATTTAGTACTAATAGAGACTTATTAGTATCGGTTGATCATCTTTTATCAACTGACTTCATAGCTATTGAATGAAAGTAATATCTATAAAGCGAACTGAAAAAGATAAAACAGTATGTTAAAGTTCTCTTACAGATACCATAAGAAAACTACAACAACTACAGATGTTCTTGATGATACTGATATATAATTTTCACGTTTTCTCCTTTTTTTTATCTACAAGGACATCATAAAATAAAAATGTTTTTTCTCTATTTCGAAAATGACTGTATGTGACAAATCAAAACGTTCATTAATTGAACAAAACTATGATCTAATGCGTTGTAACATAAATGCAATTGTATGTTCTAAAAAGAGACCCATGATTTATTTCAATATCTAAATAAATAACAAATCTTTTCTTATGATATATTGTTCCAACTAAACCAATTCAAATTGTTATTGTACCAGAATTGCATTTTGTTTAAAAGCATTTATTAACGATATTAACTTAATTAAAAATAATGTTTAAATCTATACGAGACAAGAATTTGTACAAAAAACGAATGCTTTTCTTATTGTAATTATATCAAGTCAAAATTTTGAATTAGAGGTAAACAGAAATATTAAATTGAAGCCTATCTGATGATCTATCTTTGTACAGTCAACATATTGACATTGAAATAATTATAATATTTGATTCTTAGTCATTCCATGACAAATATAGTAGAAAATGATATAGAAAACAGTTCATTTTCACCAATTTCATTTGTCTAATTAGCATAACAATATTTATACTATGTTTTTTTATTGATTTGTTTTAAATATATTTTTTTGTATTGATCTCTCTTCGATATTTTTATATATTAAATTACAGAGTATATCTGATGTTATTTTTAAGTAAAAACAAAAAAATAACAACTAATTTGAACAGATGAGTTAGTAATCAGAAGTGGTTCACATACATTACTGAGTTATACTAGCCTGAAATCTTTTCTCATTCGAAATGAAAAGTTCATCACCTAAACACTTTATTTCGATAATATAGACTTTTTTCAAAGTAAAATACTGAACGTACAATGTGCTTTTTCATTAATTTTTTGAAATAATTTGATGACTTTTTTTATCGTCTGCTAAACGCAATATTGCCTCACTATTATTCATACAAACTTTAGAGAAATATGGATTATATGCCTTTTATTTAATAAAATTTTTATCTATTTTAACACTCAAAACATTCTTTATTAAAGAGTATAACAAAGTTTAAACTGATGATTTCGATCACGCAGTCAATCGTTTTGCAGAAACAATTTCTAGAGTAAAATCAAATCTGAAACGTGAGAAATGAACACTTACAGACGCACCTCACTTGTAAATGAAAAAATATCGGAAAAACATTTAAACACAGTTAACAGATAAAATTTATTCTAACGCGTTAAATATTTTAAAAATACATGTTGAGAGGCAATTTATTTTTTCTAATTACGTTTCCACACATTTCAAAAATTTTATAATCGCGTGTCCATGCGTTTCATAACAAACTATGTTTTCATACGTTGTGAAAACATTTCTGAATGCATCTCAACGCATCAATTTTATATTTCGTGCTTACATAGGTTGTTTTTCATGATGATACAGATAATTAGTAATGTAAATAGTCTTGTTCGGCAATTAAAAAAAATTAGAAAAAACAAATCTAGATAGAAAGTAGAAGCACTATAAAATGAGCTACTTTCATCATTCTTTCATTATAAATTTTCTTCAAGTAAGTCAAATACAACACCTTTGCATTAACAATAATGGAAAATCAAAAATCAACAGCTGCTACTGTATTTACTAATGGAAAACACGTTGATCCATCACCTGATTTATCTAAAAGTGCGATTGCAAATCGATTTATTAACATGCAAAGAATGCAAAATGTCCTTTTGGTTTGGTTAGATAACATCATTGATGAGGATAATGTGGATTGTAATATCATGATCAAGCAATTAAAACGTGTTATTAATAATCTAAACATATTTACAGATAGTGACAAATGCGCTGAATTTATTCAAACTATTACCAATAATAGGATATGTATGATTATTTCCGGATCACTTGGGAAACAAATTGTGCCTCGTGTGCATGATATGTCTCAAGTAGATATCATTTTTATTTTTTGTAATAATCAGAAATGGCATGAACATTGGGCCAAAGACTGGCCTAAAGTTAAAGGTGTCTTCACAGATATAACACCAGTCTGTGAAGCTCTTACACAAGCTGCTCATCAATCTGAGCGAAATACCACTTCGATTAGTTTTGTGGCACCAAACAAGAAATTGGATCAATTAGATCCATCATTCATGTATACTCAGATCTTGAAAGAGATCTTATTAACTATTAATTTCGAGAGCAAACACATCAAAGAATATATTAATTACTGTCGTGATGCGTTTGCTGGAAATGGATATGAATTACATAATATGAAAAGAATGGAACGTCATTATCAAGATCGAAAACCTGTATGGTGGTATACGTATGAATGTTTTCTATATCCTATGCTCAATCGTGCATTAAAAGTGATTGATGTTGATATTATTATTCGAATGGGTTTCTTTATCAGTGATCTACATCGTGATATTCAAAGGCTGCATTCGGAACAATACAACAATCAAGCATCAAGTAAAATATTTACAGTTTATCGTGGACAAGGTCTGTCAAAAGAAGATTTCATCGAAATGACACAGACAAAAGGTGGACTTCTTTCGTTTAATAATTTTTTATCGACTAGTAAGATTCGTAATGTTTCCCTTAATTTTGCACAAAAAGCATCAACGAATCCGGATCTTATCGGAGTTTTATTTGTTATGCAAATTAATACAAGCCATCAAACCACTCCATACGCTTCAGTTTCTAATGTTAGTTGTTTTCATACCAAAGGTGAAGTTCTTTTCTCTATGCATACAATTTTTCGAATTGGAGATATTAAACCAATCGATGGAAATAAACAACTTTATCAAGTAAATTTAATACTGGTCAATAATAATGATGAAGACATTCGTAATCTGACAAATCGTATTCGGCAGGAGACTTTTCCCAATTCGAAAGGATGGTCTAGATTAGGATTGTTGTTAATTAAAATGGGTCACTTTAAACAAGCTCATGGAGTTTGTGAAGGTTTACTTAATGAAACTACGAACGAGAGTGAAAAGGCAAATGTTTATCTTCAACTAGGTTTAATTAAATATAATGAAGCAGAGTATAAAGAAGCACTTTCTTATTATGAAAAATCGCTTGCTATTTATCAAAAAACATTACCTCCTAATCATATTAATTTAGCTACATCTTACACAGGCATTGGTAGTGCATATGAAAGTATGGGCGATTATCCAAAAGCTCTTGCAGCGCATGAAAAAGCTCTTTCAATTCGACAACATTCACTTCCTTCCAATCATCTTGATTTGGCTGCTTCTTGTAAGAACATTGGTAATGTATATCACAGCATGGGTGATTATCCAAAATCACTTGCTTCTTATGAAAAATCACTTGGTATTTATCAGAAAACATTGCCACCTCATCATATTAATTTGGTTACATCCTACATGGGAATCGGTAATGCACATTACAGCATGAATGATTATACAAAAGCTCTTGCAGCGCATGAAAAAGCTCTTGAAATTCAACAACGAGCACTGCCTCCCAATCATCCTGATTTGGACACTTCCTATAATAAAATTGGTATGGTGTACTACAGTATGGCTGACTATCCAAAAGCACTTTCTTATTTTGAAAAAGAACTTTCAATTAAACAACAATCATTACCTCCCAATCATCCTGATTTAGCTTCATCTTACATGGGCATCGGCAATGTGCATTATAATATGGATGATTACCCAAAAGCGCTTTCTTATTATGAGAAAGATCTTGAAATTAAATTACAATCATTGCCTCTCAATCATATTGACTTGGCTTCTTCCTTTAAGAACATTGGTAATGTGTATTACAGCATGGGTGATTATCAAAAAGCGTTGTATTATTATGAGAAAGATCTTGAAATTAAACAGCAAGCACTGTCTCCTAATCATCCTGACTTAGCTTTGTCTTACATGGGTATTGGTAATGTGTATTCCAAGATGGGTGATTATCCAAAAGCACTGACTTATTATGAGAAACCTCTTGCAAATCAACAACAGTCACTTCCTTTCAATCATCCTGATCTAGCTTCTTTTTACATGGGCATTGGTAATGCATATTACAGCATGGAGGATTATCCAAAAGCACTTGCATCACATGAAAAAGCTCTTGCAATTCAACAACGATTACTTTCAGCCAATCATCCGGATATAGGTGCTTCTTTTAATAACATAGGTATGGTATATCATAACATGGGTGATTATCCAAAAGCACTTACTCATTATAAAAAAGCTCTTGCAATTCAACAAAAATCACTTCCTGCACATCATGCCGATTTGGCTGCGTCCTTTAACAACATTGGTAATGTGTATGAGAATATGGGCAGCTATTCAAAAGCACTTCCACATTATAAACGTGCTGTGCACATTGGTCGACAAGCGTTAGCAAAAGATCATCCTCATTTGGAATTATTTATAAAAAACTTAAAAGAAATAAAAGCGAAACTATAATTTGTAATTGTATTTTTTAAAAAAAAAATAAAATTTATAAAAAAAAATAAAATTTATAAAAAAAAAGATGATGTGTCTATTGACACTGTCCTCCTGTTGAAAATACATTATGTGAATAGTAAGATTAAACATATCGAAAAGATATGTATTGTACAATGAAATAATAATCTGATTTGAATTATCAACTTCATACGGTTTCTTACATACTCGTTTTTTGATTTTTATTTGACAATACTTACAATGTATGAAATATAATTTATCTTAATTATAATAAGTAATTGAAATCAATAACACGACATTGATAATAATCATTTGTTACTTCTAAAGAAATATTTCTGATAGTGTGGAAATATCAGGACCACTATCAATGTTTTTCAGAGATGCTCATTTATTTTTTTGAGTTGTCAGTGTGTCAAAATTGGAAACTTTACACTATAATTTACAGTTGCTTAAAACTGGAATGTTATTTTTTTCTGCTCTATAATCATCTAATTATCTTGAAACACAAAATTAGCTCACTTTAAAGATAAAGATCAAACGTTGTACACGCAGGCCTACATGAATAAACTATTATTCGAATACAATAAAATATGTACTAGACAATACTTCCTACTTATGTATTTTTTTACATTGAACAATTTCTCAATAGTTAATCAAGTGCTAGATTTTCTTTGAAAATGATCGACAATAAACTGTTGAGAAAAAGATTTGATACCATTCTTTTAAAGCACAAAGCGTTATAATAACATTTTTTCATTTTTATTATCATTCCGGAAATTAATACTACTTATAAACTAATAAGTTTTTCATCAAAATATGCACGTTATTTTATAATAATATTATTGTAGAAATTAAAATTACACATATTCATTGAATATGGATGTCTTTTTTTTATCTACATTTCACAGACAAAATTGATAGAAATTCTATATAAAGCATACTTAAAATATGATCATGAATATAATTACGTTTTAAGTCAAAATGAAAACTATCAGCACTTATGGTCGTTGAAGTAGAAATTGTTTTTTCGAAGTCTTATAAATTTTTGAAGCTGTCATGTATAAATGACTGCAATAGTACTGTTTTTTTGCTTAATCTATGATGAAAAAAGGTATATTTATTAAAAACAATATTTTTATATGAAACCACATAAAGTACTTTCTACCGTCATCTCATATCTCAGTTTCAATTATATACTTTTATGTGTTAGATCAAGTAGAATAATATTTCTTCTTGTTACAGACCATAAATTAGACTCAAGCAGTATTTGAAGCATGATTAACAACGCTCGTTAATCATTTTACTATAGAAGATGATTATATTTTATTCCTTCAAGTTTTTTTTCTATAAATTTAGTCTTCGTAAATTATAAATATTTTATGTAAACTGGAAGAAACTCAATAAAATTGATTTTATATGAAAATTATTTTAATAAGAATGAAGAAATACTTTCCCTATTGACTGATATGTTCAACAAAAAAGCTTATCTAATGTATTTAAATAAAAATTCTTCACATTAGACATTGTACTTATTTTATCTCAAATAGGTTGATAGTCATGGTAGAAATTAGAACTATTTTTTTGAGATTTTTTACCTGAAATTGAAAAAATACGCTGATGTTCAACGCCCTCTTTTTTTTTTATTACAGAGGCTGAGCGTTTTATTTATGTGATGGCGAAAACGTATGTCTAGCTTATCTCAACCCGACGTGTCGTATACCTTCGGGGGTAGTGAGTAATCAAGAGATTGTGTACCTTTCTGTCAATAGAAAAAAAAAGAAATAAATATCAATAGTCAGGTAACAATAGAAATGATTTAATAGAAGCCACGAATAAAGAAATACAAAAAGAAACACTGATAAATTCGACTATTTTTGTCTTTTTTTTTGCAACTTATGCTCAGCAGGAAAAAAAGATGAAAATTAAATGTCATTTGTGTTTTTTTCTCTTTAGATTTTGACATGAGCGAAGAAATTAAAGATGATAACGATGTTCAATCTGATGATGGTAATCAAGAGCATGAACAAACAGAAGAAATCATTCCACAAGTCTCTTTAAATGGTGAAGAAGAGCATGAACCAGCACAAGAAATCATTCCACAAGTTTCTATAAATGGTGAAGAAGAGAATGAACCAACACTCGCAACACCGAATGGTCGTGAAACACCATCACCAACATTATCAATGTCTGATGTTTTTATTGACAAACAAAATGACTCATTACCTATTTCTACTGAAAATAATACTCAACAACTTCTTCAAGTAATATCCGAGAAATCAAATAAAGAAGCAAGTTCAGCTATTCTAAATACGGTATAAAAAAAACGTCTCCGAATTGTCTTGAAGTTCAAACTTTTATTATTTATTTTAGCTTGTCGATGGAGATTTTGATTTAGATAAAAATTATATTATTCAAAATCCAAAAAATCTATCGGAATTATTTTCAATGTTTAATGAAATATCACCATCATTACAAGCAGAAATTCTTAGTGTTTTAATTGGTATAATGCGTAAAAGTGAACGAAATTTATTAGTATGTGTTGATGCAAACATATATAATAAAGTTTTCGAGCTATTAAATGATATTGAAAATGATGTTGTTGCAAATTTATTAGTCGATATTTTAACTGTTTTAACATCATTAACAATTAATGTGAATGAACTTAAATTACTTTTACGTTATTTAAAAACAGAAAATAAAATTTGGGTATGATAAAAAAAACAACTAATTTCATTTTAATGTTTTTTGATTTATTTAGAAAAAACATTCAGTTAAATTATTAAATATATTCCATCATCTTCCATATCGACATGGACCCGATGAATTTTTTAATTTTCCTGGTCGAAATAATTCCGGTCTTGTTTTACCTCCAATTAAAACATGGCCATATCAAAATGGTTTTACCATAACAACATGGTTTCGTATTGATCCTGTTGCAAATAGTGTTATTGAAAAAGAAAAACCTTATTTATATTGGTTTTGTACATCGAAAGGACATGGTTATACCGCCCATTTTGTTGGTAATTGTCTTGTTATATCCTATTCAAAATTAAAAGAAAAAAGTTTTCAACATTGTATACAATATGAATTTAAATCACGAGAGGTAATGAAAATAAATTTTTATTTTATTTACGTCTGATATCAATAATTTATTATGAATATAAAAAATGATTTATTGAGAAAATAGTTTCATAAATCATTGACTTGATAGAATTCTCGAAAAAAACAATGCACTTGTTGTTTTTTTATTATTATTTATGTTATTAAATAAAAAAAGATTTTTATTAGACGAATGAAATTTATACAATGAATAAAGGTATGAGTAATCGTTTTGCATGATCGGTAGAATGAACACAATCAATTATATTGTTGTAGTTTGTAAAAAATAAGATTTTGTATTATGTAAATCTATACGTTGTTTTATTTAATGAATAAGAATAATAGACCCTTTCCAATTTCAAAGATTATAAGTACGATAATTTCTTTCTTCGATTATATCTCTCATGAATATAAAGAAATAGTTTATGAGATATTTATTTGATTTTTTTGTTCTTAGTGGTACATGATTACATTTGCTCATCAATATCAACGTTGGAGTAAAAGTAGTGTTCAATGTCATATCAATGGTCAACTTGTATCAACTGCTTATTTTCCTTGGAGTATTGAAAGTGGTGAACTATTTGATAAATGTTATATTGGTTGTACACCTGAACATAATGATTTAACAAGTTTTTCTGGTCAATTATCAACATTTTATCTTTTTAGTATATATTTAGAACCAATGATTGTTCAAGGTTTATATAAATTAGGACCTGCTTATAAAAATCAATTTAAATTTGAACATGAAAGTGCACATATACTTAGTGAAGGACAACGTAAAGCTATGTATGATGGAAAATTAATGAATTCAATTGTATTTAATTATAATCCAATTGCATGTGAAGAAAAACTTGTTTTACAAGCCGGTCCAAAATCGAATGTATCACATTTTGTTCATAATGCTCATGCACAAATGTTAAGTAATGTTCGATCGGTTGTAACACATTCAATTTATTCAACATTACATTCTATTGGTGGTATTCAAGTTATTTTTCCTTTATTTGATCAATTAGATCATCAACAAATGAATGGGACAATTACTTATAATGTTTGTTCAGTACTTCTTCTAACATTATGTGAATTAATTGAACGTTCATATACAATTCAACATCAAATGCTTAGTTCAAAAGGTTTTCTAACAATTGGTTATTATCTTGAAAAGGTATAGAATATATATTAATTAAATAGAAATCTACATGAAATAAACTCATTTTTGAAGTATAGCAATAACAGTATATAATTTTCAACTTAATAATTTATTTATAAATATTTGAAAGTTAAAAATAGATTATGCACTTTCAATGATATTAATAATTATTTTGTTTTCCAGCGTTAATATGACA